AAGAATAACTCTTTTTTTTTTATATAATTGAACCCATGTTATTACCACCCAATTCCTAGTTAGGAAGTCTTGATCATTTGAATATTCAAAATAATAGTTCATGCAACGTATGTATACTGATTATAGTTTTTATGCAACATATATTTAGGAAAACTATTCGGTAATTATGTTTTTGATTGTTTATTTCCACTATGCATTTTTTTTGAGCTCCCATACTATTTTTTCGAATATGATGATTAGATTCTCCATTATATTTAGTAATGCACTTCAGCACTTGGCATAAGTTTTAGTGTGAATGCACTTGGCAGAAGTTTTAGTATGTCTATGAATTATTCTATTACGAAAATAATCCCTTATTTATGAAACAATGAACATGATATTATTGCTATATATAGGAACAATATACTATATTTTCTCATGTATTAGGTACAAACTAATTTTCTATATGTTGTTTTATTAGTCAAGGAATACAACGCATAATGGATTCGGTGTTAGATCACATTACTAAGACAACACCATAAAAATGTGATCTAGCACCGCAAACTAAAATATTAGCTTTATTACTGAACTCGTAGAGAATAAAGAACAACGAGAACGAAAATGAAATAAATCGATCTTCAGCTTTAAGAGTTCTTTAATGGAAGGAGAAGGCATGCCAATGGGAGAGAAGTAGCGTCATTTTCATATGAATAGTGCACATGGAGAAGACATGCCAATCGGAAGATAATGACGTCATATATCGTATATTATCTACCAAAAGTCGGTAAAAAGACATCTGAAAGGATAGTAAATTACTGGTGTTTATATTAGATGACCAATAAACCGATGAGTGATTGTGACAAACATTAACGTCTGCCTAACTTTGAATAAACTTCATTTTACTCATGCGTTCGGGTCATTGTTTTATGCCTTGTTTTATAGAGATGGTATTCTACATAGGTTCTGGTCATTGGTTTATAGAGATGGTATCTTCCACAATTTGAAACAAGAATTGAATTGATCCAAAAGAAACCAGAATTGAATGTGAATAATTGTGATAAAAATGAATTTTAATTTCTTTGCCTAGTGCCTACATATTGTGTAGCCCATGTTTCAAGAAAGTAGAGGTATGAAGAAAATTATTCAAAATCTTTTGGCTTTTAGTGAATACTAGGTTAATACTCATGCATTTACGCGGGATAAAATTTATATTTTATTTTTATTTATGTTCTTTTATATAAAATAATAAATATATATATTGAATAATTAAAAAATCTGTAACTCTTAGTTATACAATTAATTTAGCGAGAACACTTAAATAAAATAATCAGATTTTTTATTTACAATCATTTTATATAAGTAAATCTAATTAATAAATAATATTAACACACACACACACACATATATATATATATATAATTTTAATTTGGCTAGCTAATAAAGAAAGCTTCACACTTACATGGTTTTATGATCATTTGTATATTTTTATAGAAAAATTAAACCATTCATAACATCATTTTTAATGTGAGAAATTTCATATTTACAGTAATTCATTATTATTTAAAAAAGTTAAATTTAAAGTTTATCATTAAAGTATTAAGTTCTCAATATTTGTTCAATGCAGTTTTAGAATTAAATACTTATGTATTTTTAAATGGTATACAGTTTAATTTAACATCAGTAAATGTATATACATCTAATTTGAATATCTATTTAATGATATTTCTTACTCATTAATTATATAATTGTTTGTATCGTGCTATAACAAAAAAAAAAAACTATTAATCAAATATATTATATGTGAAACGTTTTATTAATTTACAGTTGTTTTTAAAAATTCAAAATATAACATATGTGAAAACATCTATTTTTTTGTTATATAGTTAATATTATTGTTTAATTTATTTTCATTAGATAAATTTAACAAAAGAATAGAAGCTATATCTTTCTTATTCAAATCATTAATGTGTGATATTTATATTATAACCATATTACGTAATTATGTAAATTTTATTAAGGAAATAATGAATAGCATTAACAGTTCTATGCTTAGTTTAATAAAAAATAGATTCTATGTTTATATGGACCAACATTTTTTCTACTAAATTTGAGAAGCATTCTCATGATGACATGTGGCTACCAAAACATATTTTAATGCTTCTCAATTAATATATAGGAGATATGTGTTCAAATCATTTCTTTGTAGAAAACATATATGGTTAAACCTGTAGAGATTAGTGTATAAGTGTGTATTTATAAATGTATAATACCTAATTACTCTCATGTGCACAGTATAAATACTGTATTTTGTTATCTAATAAAGTTATTCAGCACAATACATCTATATGGTATCAGAGTTAGATACCTAGGGATCCTAAACAGCTGTCAAACACAAAAAATTTTGAAACTCTCTTTTCTTCTTCTTCAAGCCATCAACGATGACTTCTTCATCGGCTAACCCAAACGAGACCATTGTTGTCTCCGATTCCAAAACTCTTCTTACCGTGAATATGACAAACTCACAAAGCTCACAGCCTCGAATTTTCTCATGTGGAGCCATCAAGTCCAAGCTCTACTCGACGGATATGCTCTTGCCGGCTACATCACTGGAGAATCTGCAGCGCCACCGTCCAAGATCACCACTGATGGAGTTCAAGTGCAGAATCCAGACTACACGTTGTGGGTCAGACAAGATCGGCTGATCTACAGCTCGTTGCTTGGTTCAATCACGGTTGCCATCCAACCGATTCTCTCCACGACGACTACCTCTGCACAGATCTAGGAAACCTTGTCTCCAACATACGCTAAGCCTAGTAGAGGCCATTTCCAACAACTTCGCCAGCAAGTCAAAACCTGGAAGAAAGGAACCAGGACAATCGATTCCTATATCCAAGGTTTCACAACCCGCTTCGACCAGCTCGCACTACTTGGAAAACCGTATGACATCGAGGATCAGCTTGAGTTTGTTCTTAAAGGATTACAGACGAATACAAGCCGATTGTGGCTCAAATCGAGGGACGCGATTTCCACCCTCCCTCACGGAAGTTCGCGAGAAGTTGCTTAATTATGAAGTCAAACTGCAGTCTCATAACTCGACTGCTAAAACTCTCCCCATCACGGCGAATGCTGCTCAATATCGTGGCCCTCCTCACAACAACAATCGCAACTCACAGTAAAGCCAAAACCGCAACACCAACAATAGAGGTCAACAAACATGGCAGCAACAACAGCAGTTTACTTCACGTCCAAATCAACAAACTCGTGGGTTTCAAGGAAGGTGTCAGCTATGCGGCACTCATGGACACAGTGCACGACGCTGCTCGCAATTACAGAGCTCTGGCTATGCTGCGACTCAGAACTCGAACTACAGCTATCCGTCGCCAACATCATGGCATCCGCGTGCTAATATGGCCATGGCGCAGACCTACAATCCTAACAATTGGATTCTTGACAGTGGCGCAACACACCACCTTACCACCGACTTGAGAAATCTCTCTCTACATCATGCATATACTGGTAGCGAGGAGGTCACAATAGCCGATGGTTCAAGCCTTCACATCTCGCATACTGGTTTCACTTCACTTAAAACTCCAACTCGTTCATATGCCGTAGATAACATTCTTTACATTCCCGACTTAAAGAAAAACCTTATCTCTGTGTTTCGTTTGTGTAATTCTAACAATGTTTTGGTTGAATTCTTTCCTGCTCATTTTCAGGTGAAGGATCTCAGCACGGGGGTCCGATTACTCCAAGGCAAAACTAAAGACGAGTTGTACGAGTGGCCAGTCACTTCCCAGAATACCATCTCTCTCTTCGCTTCAACCACACTGAAAAAATCCCTTACTTCTTGACACTCAAGATTCACTACAAGAAATGTGGGTATTAATAGCATCGGATTATAGCGTTTATTACAGTTATGCTATTGTATATTGACAGTTGCTTTTTTATAGCGTTTTATCAATTTAAATGCTATATTTGTTATCGCGGGAAAATTATTTTTTTAGCCCCGTTAATTTGCTAAGTGTAGGTGTCTTACCATTGTAGATCCAAAAGTAAACGCTATAGTAAATGTAAAATATCTCAAATTTCAGACAAAAATCCAATGTTTATCTTTATCCAATGTTTATCTCTATAGCACATTTAGGCGCCAAATACTTACTGAAAAATCACTTTTTGGCACCAAAACGTTTTGGTAAAAATATTTTTNATCCAAAAGTAAACGCTATAGTAAATGTAAAATATCTCAAATTTCAGACAAAAATCCAATGTTTATCTTTATCCAATGTTTATCTCTATAGCACATTTAGGCGCCAAATACTTACTGAAAAATCACTTTTTGGCACCAAAACGTTTTGGTAAAAATATTTTTCTTTCTAAGTCATATCATTTCTTTTCTTCTGAAGAAAAAAAAATCCAATTCTCTCCTCTTTCACATTTCATCACGAGAAATCAGCCGACGAATTCGAAGCGACAAACTTGATGAAAGAATCGAACGAGTTGCTTCTCTGTCTTCTGATGAATACTCCTCCTCCTTCCAATTTCACACTCACCATCCCACCACCACCACAACACCATTGTTCGACCCTCTCCTTGTTCGTTTTTTTCATCATGCGCTGAAAGTTGAAAGCTTGAAAGCTTGAAGATGGTGTGGTTTCGAGCTGGCTCTAGTGTGACGAAGCTTGATGTACAAAGGACCATGAATCAGGATGGTTCATACGGACGAGGACACGCTCCCTACCTTCTAAAAATCGTTCCTTTCTCTCAATCCTTTACAGACCAAACCCTAAAAGACCTGCTTCTGTTCCTTTCACTAAACCCTTCACAAGTCTTTGTTCCTTCCTCTCCCATCGCCACTATCATATCGTAGTCTCTCTCTCTCTCTCTCTCTCTCTCTCTCTCTCTCTCTCTCTCTCTCTCTCTCTCTCTCTCTCTCTCTCTCTCTCTCTCTCTCTCTCTCTCTCTGTCTCTCTCTTTCCAACTTCGATTGATTTTGATTTCAGGGTAGTGAAGCATTTAATGTTATGGTCTACGCTGAAGCTCAGACACGAGGACTTACTGTTTCCTCTCGTGTTAAAACGTAAGCTCTTTCTCTTAATCCTATATCTCTTTTTCAGATTCTGTTTTTTTTTTTTTGTTCAGCTGTTTCCTCTCTGTTGTAGTTGTTGGTTCAATGTTAGTTCTTTTTGTTGTGCTTAAGTGGAGATTCTTGCAGTAACCATTTTTCCTGCTTACCTAGTGACCAATAACTCGGAACATAACTTATTCAAACAGTTCCTGAAGTTAGTAGGAATGTTAGCTTATCCTTAATTTGTAAATAGATAGTCATTGTTTTCTAATTACATTAGCTTTTTATCAACTCAACTTGGCTCTTCTTAGGCCAAAGATGCATCTGAGTAATCTGTTGGAATATGGAGAGAGACATTCACTGATACCTTTTATATGATTGATCCTTGTAGAGCAGATGAGTGGGACGTGAACAAATGGGCATGGGAAGGAGAATTGAAAGTGGTGAGCAAAGGAGAAGAATGCATTATTAAACTTGTAGATAAAACCACTGGGGAACTTTACGCTCAGGCCTTTCTGCGTGATGGTGAACCTTATCATGTAGAAGCCGTTATCGGCAGTAGTAGGTAACTATAGAGCTTAACCTGGTCTTCTCAATGATTGTGCAGCTAGTCTAACATAGAAAAACTTTGTTTTTGACTTGTAGATATTTCTCCGAGTTGAAGAAAAAATAGGTACTTAGTTACTATAAAGATTTGTTATAGTTGTAGTAGTTGATTTTTGAGTTTACTTATTTGAAGCATTGCAGGTGGTCGTGTTCGATGCTTTTATTAGACTCGGGCTCCGGGAGAGAACTAAAGCATATGACTTCCAAACAGCACTACATGACCACATGAAGTAACGTTCCACTTCCAAAACTCCTAGTGTTCTTTGACATCTCTGAATCTTATCTCTTTGCTAAAGGTACTTGAACAAGAAGAAAACAGCAGAAGAAATGGTAAAAACACTTTCAAAACACTTCATCTATCGATTACAACTTAAAGGAAGGAGAAACCATTGTTCTTCAACTAAAAAATGTAAGATTTACAAGTTATTGCGCTAGGTACATGTTCTGTTTCTTATTTTTTCACATTGAGATGATTGAAACAGAGGAATGATCAAGACACAAAGTCTAAGTTGGTGGATAAGAGTCTCAGTAATCTCAGTTGGAAGCAAAGGGATGTTCATGCTGATGCTCATTACTCTGATCTCGCTCTTGTAACATGTGATGTCGATGAGATAGCTGCTGGTTCGAAGTCTAGCTTTGTTCATGCTGATGCACATGGCTATTGTTTGGTTTATATATATTTTGGATGCACATGACTAATTAATGGCTTATGTGAATCAGATGACAACAATTTATAATTTATGCAATATATTTTTAACTATGAAAATGGAGGAGGATAACAAAAGAATGATATTTATAAAGGTTATGTTTAAAATTTTGATTTGTAAATAACATTTTTATGACTGCTCAATAAATTTAAAATTTTATATAAAATGTTATATTTAATAATCAAATTATCGTTTATATATAAAGTACCTATTTAAATAAATTTAAGATATATATATAATTATAGGGTTTGGAGTTCAGTGTTTTGGGTTTAATTAGATTTAATATTAAACTTTCAGATTAGATTTAAAATTTGAAATTAAATCATAAAAATAGAGTTTAAAGATTTTTAATTAGAGTTTAAGATATATGATTAATTTAGGGTATGATATAGGTATCGTTTATGGTTTGGGGTTTGGGGTGTAGATTTAATTTTAAAGTTAGAATATAAAATATTAATTTTGAATTTAAAATTAAAATAATGATTAAAATAAGAAAATATTTAAATTTTAAGAGCTGTATTTAAAGTTTAGGGTTTAAACTCTAATCCTTAAACATAAACTTCAAAACTTCAATATTTCATAATATAACTTCAATATTAAATTTAAACTCAAAATTAAATCATTTAAAAAAATATAAGCACACATTTAAATTCTAGACCTTAAATGCTAAATCTTAAATCTTCACCGTAAATCTAATACCCTAAAATTATAACCCCTAAACATAACCTCTCTACTATAACCCCTAAACTATAAAGGTATGTGAGTGGTTTTTAGATTTTAGATTATAGATAAAGATAGAAATAAATATTCGAGGGTTAGGTATAAGATTTGAAAATGTATGAATAATGTTTGTGTTTACATTTAAGATTGAGTTTAGGTTGTTTAAAAAATTTGGAAGTTAAGAATGAATTTAGAGTTTAGGGTTTCAAATACCATGAATTTAAAGTTTTAAGAATGTGTTTAGAGAAAAAATGAGTTTAAAGTTGATACCTTAAATCATAAAACCNATGTTTGTGTTTACATTTAAGATTGAGTTTAGGTTGTTTAAAAAATTTGGAAGTTAAGAATGAATTTAGAGTTTAGGGTTTCAAATACCATGAATTTAAAGTTTTAAGAATGTGTTTAGAGAAAAAATGAGTTTAAAGTTGATACCTTAAATCATAAAACCTAAACTTCAAAATTTATATCCAATCTAAAACTATATACTTAATTATATGCCCCAAATTCTATTTCATAATTCTATACCCTAAAATCTATTTCATAAACTATAATTTCAATTTATAAACCCCAAACATTACTAAAAAGCTAAAATTTTAAATTCAAATGTAAATATTTGAATTTTTCTCAAATAATTTATGTACATTACAATTTTACCATTAAAACTTTGTGTATTAAAACAAAATAAAATAGAAAAGTAACTAAAATTCTTGATTGGTTAAAACAGCTGACCAATAATATACAAGGTTGAGGATCAGCCCTTTTCAACAACCGCCGTTAGATTAACCTAAATCTAATGGACAAGATCTATCTCCCTAATCTCTTCTCTTTTGTTCGTCCCGTCCCTTTCTCTTCTCTTTTGTTTCAACCTTTTTTTTTTCTTAGTTAATCTCTCCACCAGACCTCATCTCAGAGATCGTTTGATCTCCTCACCACCATGACAGGTAAACCCACTTCACCTTCCTCTTATCTGTTCTCTCTTTCTCTTCGTCTTCCTGTATACTTGTAATTGATTTTTGTTTTGTTTACAGATCTAAGAAGGAGCATGGAAGGAGAAGAAGTGGTGTTACAGAGCTGCGTCTCCAGCCTCGTTTCTATCTCTCTCTCTCTTTCTCTCTGTGTTCTGATTCCAGTGTTGCTTTTATGTTCTTAATTAAAAGAAGATGTGCCCAGATCGTCCATACCAGAGATCATCAGGTTCGATTCGGCCTTTATAGCATCTAATTGAACGTTTATCTATGCAAAGTTTCTACCTTTGGATTCAGTTTGGGGTTTTGAAAATTCTGGAGCAATGGGTCTGAGAATAGCTTAAGGTCGTATATTTTGTATTGTTTTGCTTGTAAAGTTACAATCTTGATTGGTTAGTGATGTGGTTACAAGGTTTTGGAGAAACTTGATGCGACTCTTGATGTTGGTGGTGTGTTTGATCCTGAGAGTGAACGTTATGACCATCACCAGTAAGGCTTCACTGAAGTGTTTGGTCATCAGTTTAATACCAAACTCAGCAGCGCAAGGCTTATCTATATGGTAAGAGGAATTACATTACATTCTTGTGATATTTGTGTGCTTGTAGAGACATTTGTGCTGATGCTTCTGCCTTTTCGCACTATGGCTTGGAGATAATTTCTAAGGAGCTTCAGCTTGATCAGAAACATCCTAATGTGCAAAGATTGTTTCTAGCTGTATACTAAAACTTCATTGAGGTAATCCAGAATTTGTTTGCTTAATTATAATATTTTTGGTTTTTATGGAGCTATTTTGGTCTTTGATTTTCTTCTTGTGTGTATTAGGACGCTGAGAAGGAGAAGCTGTGGAGCCGGAAGATATCATCTTTCAGGTCGATGGTGAAGCCTGAAGTGGAGACATCCGTGAAGCCGAAGGAGTAGAGGTTGGGCTTGGAGAAGAAGAAGATGACTGGTTTTAGTTTTGTAATATTAGGTTTTAGTTTTGGTTTGGCTTAATTAGTTTTGTAAAATTAGGATTAGGTTTTGGTCAGGTTTAGTTTTGTAAAACTGATTTTAATAAATAAATATTTTTAAATATAAAATCAATTTGTAAATATCTTTAATAATTTTTCTGATAATTTAAAAATAAATTAATAACATGAATCATTGCTATCTTTGTATAGGTAACATCAAATTAATGAGTTTTAATAACATTTGTATATCGTTATTATAAGTATTAACAATTGCATAGACAACACCGCTATTGTTGTTTGTTTTAATATAGCATACGACTGTTTCGCTATCGAAAGTGTCGGACCTATTATGACGGGCGATCTCAGAGCGTTTTAAGGAGCGTTATGGTAGTGATCTCATAGCATTTAACGTCCGCTAACAAAACCCATATTTCTTGTAGTGATTGGGACATCCTTCTTCTTCTATTTTACAAATTTTTGTCTCGCAATTTGCTTTACCGCTTTCTGATTCTTCTCAAAACCCTTTTTCTCATTGTCTTATCAATAAAAATCACAAACTCCCTTTTATTCAAACACTATCACCTCCTCTCAACCATTACAATATGTTTACACTGATGTGTGGACTTCCCCTATTATTTCTGTTGCTCACTATAAATACTACCTCATTTTTGTTGATGACTTCACCCGTTACACATTGCTTTATCCTTTAAAACAAAAATCCCAAGTGAGAGACACATTTAATCAGTACAAGCGACTTGTCGAGAAGCATTTTGGCTATCAGATACGAAATTTATACTCAGATAATGGCAGTGAGTTCGTGGCACTCAGACACGACCTTGCTCAACACGGCATCTCCCACTTCACCTCTCCACCCCATACCCCTGAAAACAATGATATTGCTGACGCAAACATTACCATGTCATTGAGACAGGCCTCACACTTCTTCATCAAGCTTCTATGCTGACAAGTTATTGAACTTATGCCTTTTCGGTTTACTTGATTAACCGACAGCCATCATCAGTCTTAAACCAGCAGTATCCCTACGCCAAGCTATTCAACAAACCACCAAACTACTTAAAGCGCGTCTTTGGCTCAGAGTGTTTTCCATGGGGCTAAGGCCGTAAACTCAACACAAGCTCGACATGCGCTCTCTCTCTTGCGTCTTTCTCGGGTACGCGCAAACACAAAGCGCGTATCTCTGTTTGCATCGTTAAAATGTGGCGATATATACGTCTCCAGACATGTTACTTTTATCGAGACAAGCTTCCCTTTTGCCGCCCCTATCAAACGCCAGACGCGCAGCATGATCAACCCTCTCATATGCCTTTTACTCCACCAACCTTGATTCCTATCCGACGATCGCCACTCGTACAACCGCGAGCTAATTCACCTGAAACATCTCAGGATATGACCCAAACTGCACAGCCACAACCCATCCCCTCCCCATCTCCTCAATCATCTCCTTTCACCTGAGACCTAGCTTCATCCTATCTCTCTTCCACCCGACGAACCTGTACCACCAGAACCAGAAAATCCCAACATCCATCCTATGAGAACCCGAGCCAAAAACAACATAACTAAACCCACCAAAAAGCCGACCCTTGTTGCCCAAACTACCAAGTCTTCTATAACCATTCCTACCACCCTAGTCCAGGCCATGCGAGATGAGAATTCATGACGTTCTATGGCTGCTGAGTACAATGCTCAGATTACAAATCACACATTTGCATTAGTTCTGCCAACTCCAACTCAAAATGCTATTGGTACTAAATGGATTCATACTCTAAAATATTTTCATGATGGATCACCTGACATGTATAAATCCAGGTGGGTTGCTCGTGGAGACAAACAAGAGTACAAGATTGACTATGCTGAGACGTTTATCCCGGTCGTCAAATCCGTAACAATACACCTCGTTCTTCATTTTGCTGTTACTCGTTCTTGGCCGCTTAAACAACTTGACGTCAATAATGCCTTTCTCCAAGGGACATTAAAAGACGAGGTGTATGTCTCCCAACCCCCGGACTTTGTTGATCCAGATTGTTCCCATCATGTATGCTGGCTTAAGAAATCTTTATATGGCCTCAAACAGGCCGAGCTTGGTATCATGAGTTGAAAGCATTTCTTTCTCAGATGGGTTGCTCCAATTCGGCTGCTGATACTTCGGTGTTTCTCTACATTCACGGTCCGCATGTTCTCTATATCCTGGTGTATGTCGACGATATCATCGTTACCTGTAGCAGCTCCTCTCTTGTCTTGGCATGTATTCATGTTTTCTCCTCACGATTTTCGTTGAAAGATCCCACTGATCTTCATTACTTCTTGGGCATAGAGGTAACACGCACGAGGACTG